TGGTGTGAGTGAGCGGGGATAATTAGCATATTCATAGAACTGTGTATACTAAATGAATCAAGGGTGTTGAGTTACATTTAAGCTATTTTAAGGCATGAAGACATTTCTTTCAAGGAAAAAAACGTTTAAATATGTAATTTTGGTGATCAAAGATACATTTTAAGGCATACAATTATTGACTACGGGGGACTTTTAAAAGACTGTAAACACACCTTTTGCCATTTTTGTTTTTAATTTAATTATTATCTCGCCATTTAGCTCTGAAATTGGATTTTTTTTGCTTAAAAGTACTAAAAGAATTGTTTACTGAACCATTAAGGAACCAGAATCTGAAATGTTAAAATCTCTATTTGATCCATTTAAAATCTGTTCACAACCAGTGCATTAAAGGTATAGTTCACAAAATATAACATTTTGTCAACATTTACTCACCCTCAAGTTGTTCCAAACCTGTATGAGTTTCTTTCGTCAGTTTAACACAAAAGAAGATCCAGACAGTAACCAGAAAGTTGACGGTAGCCATTGACTTCTATAGTATTTTTTTCCTATGAAAGTCAATGGCTACCGTCAACTGCTTGATTGCCCAAATTCTTTAAAATATCTTATTTTGTGTTCAACAGAAGAATGAAACTCATACAGATTTGGAACAGCCTGAGGGTGAGTAATTTTCATTTTGGGGTGAACTACCCAACTATCATGTTTGATTGTTTATTTTTGTCTGTCCTTTTACAGTTCTTAATCTGATCTATCTTCTACAATATCTCACATCTACCAAGATACTAAGATAAAAAGAGGAAATTGTCATCAAAATAAAATAAAATAGAAATCCCTGCCTTAGCTCATTTTTCTAATGGGTGTGATTCATGCCATTTGTGTTAGTCACACCAGTCGTGCTAAATATATCAGAAAATGATCATTAAAATCCAAGTAGTATTCCTGTTGAACAGCTTCTGCGTAAGGATGGAATGGAGGCATGGTTCAAACATAGCTTGTTGTTTTAGACTCTATTTAAAGGGAGAAACATACTTTGCAAGCGTGTCAGTTCAGTAATAAGGAAGTGCCCTGCTTTAACGGGAAACTTTGCTGTGTGTTTGGTTTCCCTTTCTCATAGGCAGAGTGTGACGTCTTAAAGGGGTTTCCGTCACTGTCTGTTATCTCCGCCTATTTAGGTGGAAACTGATATTTAGCCCTGGGAAAGTTATTTGGAAAAAACCTTCTGTGTGCAGTGAGGAAGCACAAATACTTTATGAGAAAGAGGAAAAGAAAAGCTAAAGTCTTGAAAGCACAAGTTACATAAACAGATTTGATACAATGTAGGCCTACAGATTAAGGTAATACATGACTGTTTCATCCAGCAGATCATAATAAATATTTAGTTTCAGAAGTAAAGCAACAAAACTGTCTGCTTGTGAAATAGGAGTACATGTAAAAAAATCTAACATCATTCTCCCCTGTTATTTTGGGAGTTTTCATAAACAAATATGCAAGCAGAGGGGTAGCTGTACAGTTATACAACTGACAGCAGACTTCTTTGAAATGAAGCCGCAGCAGCGCTCAAGGAAAGAGAGCACGTGTGCTGCATGTAAACACTGCAATAAGGAAGTGCTGCAGTCCTGCTGACATGAGCTGACACACACTCAACTGTGTATTGACTTCTGCTGGCTTATCTGAGTGCTCTTTAAGATATGCCCATTGCACAGGTGCTTCATCAACACAACAGTATATCAGCAGTCAATATGCATTGTTGAAGTGTAGAATATATAGTGTATATAATATATAGCTATATATTCAGCAGCCATTACACCAGTCTTCGGTGTCACGTGATCCTCATATCAATGTTTGTGCTGTTTAATATTTTCGTGGATTTTTTGATGAATATAAAATTCAAAATAACAGCATCTATTTGAAATAGAAAGCGGTTGTAACAAAAGTCTTTACTGTCACTTTTAACCATTTAACTGCATCACTGCTGTACTGACCCCAAACATTTGTACGGTAGAGTGAGTTATTGAACTTGAATTTACATTTTGCCCCACTTATTGCTCATTATGTCAAATGTAAACTCAAATACAAAAATATATATGTTTTACACTTATTGAATTTCAAACTGGAATCTCGCAAGTTGCATATGTGTGTATCAAAATAAACAAGGTTGCTAATGTGTAACATTTTACCAGATTTTAAATGCTTAAACTTTATTAGAAAAGTGTGAGAGAAAGAATTTTTAAAAAAAATGCTTGAAGGTTCATCTTGCAATCTATAAAATTCTGTCGGCGTGTTACAAAAACTATAGAGAACAGAGACCATCTGACCACACACTGAGAGTCTAGGCTTGTACTCTGTTGTTTTTAGTGAGATGTTGAACATTGATGAATGATCAGCGAGGAGATCAGACTCCGTCGTGAAACTACAAAGATTTTTAACGCTGGTAGGGGGGGTCGGTCAGAGTCAGCCGCTTTCTGGGATCTACGGCCATTTTAATCCACTTGTCACTCATCATTAACCTTTGCAGCTTTAAATTCATGACCCTCTGTTCACTTTCTACTGTGTTCCTGTGTGGAGGAGACGGGGGCTGCGGCGTGAAAGAGGTTTGTCTGAAGCATTAAGCTATGAGAAATGAACCTGCTATTTGGTTCCTAATCGTTAAAATGAACGTGCTTTCTGTTTTTTGCATGCCACAACTTGTTACATCCCCTAACCTGTATTAAACTCACAAGAGTCTAGTTTCTTAATATAAGCCGACATCTTTCCTGCTCTAATCAGCCAATCATGATTGACTCAGTTTATAACAAACGGCAAATCAATGTAAGCAATAGTAAATAAAATCCCTCCAGGACAGGCATTAGTTTACAGCCTCGCAATGTAGCTAAGCAAACAAAGCCAGTTGAGTCTTTTTCTCTCTCTCTTTTTTTCTCTCCTTCTCAGCTGCCAAAGACATGCACAGAGAGTCTGTGGAGGAGAAAAACACACATACACATTGAGGGCAGGGTCAGTATAATGAGTGCTTGTTGGGACTGAAAGGGACTATTGGAAACAGTGAGTATCTAGTCACGGTGCAGATGCAACCGAGAAAATACCAGCACAAGAACTGTTATCAGTGAACACCTCATATTTTAT